TTATTCACGAGGAAAAATTCGACGCAATGCTTGGAGAATGAAAAATTCCGTCCGAAAATTATGAGAAATATGTGAAGTTTTATTAGGATGATCACACCAAATCACTTCTTATTCAGTTTATCATTAGTAAAAGAACGACAACACAGTTTCATCTCAAAGTATTAGAACAAAGAAAATGATTCGAGGTGTGTAATAAGCAAGTCGAAAATTAATACAAAAGGCAAGACGAAAACATCTGAAGAAGGAACGGAATATACAACAGGAATGTGGACGTGCGTACGCATATATTCTATGATATAACACATGCAGATGTGATAATAATATCAGCAACGATCAACAGTAAGCATATAATGTTGAAAATGATACTGAACAAATCAAAAATTATTTGTTGTAATAGACAATCTTAGATTATTATGCGAAGATTTTCGTGGCGAAGTAATTGGCCTATTTCGAGGAATATTCATTGAATTTCTTCGCAATATGCACATTTTATACACAACAAAAGTTGGCAATAAAAAAGTGCAAATCAAAATAATACATTCAAAAATGAATCAATTACACACAAAACCAAACAACAAATACTAACAAATTGAACAAACTAGCAAAACAACAAAGTTGCTAAGCAATTGATCACAGATATGACAAAATCAGAATGTTCACTTCAATCGAATACATTACCAACGTCTCAACAAGAAATAACACTTTGCAATAATTTCTGATGCGGATGTTGTCTTTCAAACAATTTAAAGCAACCGAATCTACAATATATTTCATTAACATCATCATAATAGCTCTACTCTTTGGCATAAAAACATACGCTTACAATGGAATAATCAAAACGAATCGTTCCAAACAACTACAGTATTTATTAGGGACGTAACTTCCGGTTCCGGATTTCCGTACTTTTTAAACCGATTCCATCCTTCATTTTCATGATTAAGTGACACAGTTATACAAGCAGCGGACTCTGCAGCTTAAGACTCCTATCATGAGCTATAATATGAACTTATGCACCTCATATTACGTAACCGCTGTAATTGTTTTCCTCTCATCCCTTTTCATTTACTCCTAGAAACTTTTGGCTGTTCCGACAAATGTAGACGTAAACTAAGGTGCTTAATGCACTACTTTCAACTTAAGAACTATCCGAATTGCTTTCAAGAGTTCAAGTCAATGAACTATAAGCGACTTGAAACGGATTTAGATTGTTATCGAGGGCTCTGGTGGTTGATGCATCCATCCTAATGCGATTTGAATTGTAATTGTAGTCATTGCTCATATTCAATCGTAAAAGTTCAACTCTTTTCTCGTAATGAGTGTGTATCATTGTCCTTCTTATAGTCTTCGTTCAAATGATGAACCGTGAACAATATCAACCTAAGTTCCGGTGAAGATTAGTCGTTACGGTTCCGTGATTGAATGACATTGCTTAAACCGGAAGGACATTCATTCGGTGTGTATGAGTGCGATGATATCTAGTAGAGTGAATGAACAAACGCTAAACCACAAACCCACATACATACATTCTCTTATTGACAATCAGCGTTATGATGAGTGGATTAAACTTAAATTGCTGCATCTAACATGAATTTTCACTACTCTTGGAAATACGAAATTGTTGATTGTTGACAGAAAAAATTGAAATTGTTGACGAATTTGGTCTAATTTAAACTTATCATTCTAGTTATTTACGTGAACGATAACTTTGAAAAAA